ATCTTGGGACTGAATTCAATACACAGTGCTAGCAAGGGAGAGCCTGGCAAGCAGTGAGATGCACAACACCCCAACATATGAAAACCTGCCGCTGCCTTCTAATGACATTCAGGAATAGGTATAAGGTTCCAGGACCGGAGGAAGCCGAATACCCTGCCATCTTCTGCAGACTGCCCAGAAGCAGCCTCTCTTTTCTGTCTCAGAGAGGGGAACACAAGCAAGTCAATCTCGGAATCAACACATTCTTTATGGAGTCAACACACCACATGGCAGATGCAACCTTCACACATCTAGACAATGGGACTCTCTTTCTGAATCTTCTCACCCGGACTCCAAATAGGATCGAAAGAGAAACGACTCTCCTCTGCTCCCGTTACCTCTCTGAGCTGAAGTTGGAGGCTGTTACAATGACATCATCCTTGCTCTGAACCAGCACGGGAATCTTCCTGCACCCTGGGGACTTCAGCAGTCGCTGTAACAGCTTCAGGGTTTCTTAAAGGGTGAAATGAATATTGTTAGGGCAGCATCTCCCGTCTTCACAAATCGTTTTTGCGGGCTCTCTCCCCAAAAGGGAGACTGGTGCTCTTGCCACAAATAGACAGGAGAAGATGGCTAAAGGTACGTGAGTGAGACTGAGTTTGCCACAGCCCAGGTGGGAATTAGGAGCCATTCCTTCTTCCACTTCATGCCAGTGAGCCTGCTGCCAAGCGACACCACACGTGAACACACACATACGCGTTTACATCTGCAAGGGCAACGCTGTGAAGTAAACGTGGGGTTTTTTTAGCTGTCTATTAAGTAGCTTTAAGCAGCAGTTACAAGGTATTTCCTCTTCCTATAAAGGATTTTTCACACGGAATGGGCAGCACTCGGGAATCAAAATATTTGAGACTACGTGAATTGGAAATCAATTTTGACCAAACGAACTTCAACGTTTTCCCTGGCAATCAACCTGCCCTAGAAGGTTAGAGAAGCGTGAGAGAGGTAAAGATCACCATCACAGACCAGGACGGTGCAAGTGGACCAGATCCAGAAATAAATATTTTGGGACAAATCTCATGGCTCCCGACTTTGATCTTTTGCCTCTTTTGAATTTATTTTCTAAGCCTCATATCTATCAGCCAGCAGGGACATTACCTCCTGCAAACTGCCTTACAAAAAATGAGGAAAAAAAATGCTAGTAAGGACTTAAAAGAGCAAATCATTTGTATTCTACAATTGTCATCCAATTAAGTGGGGTTTGTGAATGAATGATTGCCTATGGGAAAGTAATGTTTTGGGTACAGAAACACAAACATCTAATCAGGCCATCTGCTCTTTACGGATACACTTCAGCCAAATCTTGCTTCTATTTAATTTAAACAGAACATGACACAGGAGGGGCTTCTCCCAAGAGCAGCTTTTCTCTCCTCACCCCGAGCCAAATGTTCTTCCTTCCCAGTTATTACCTCACAGTGGGGCCTTACGCTGATTTGCCAAACACCTATCATAGAGATATTTAGGTTATCTTCTGATCATATTGCATCTGTTTACCTGAAAGATACTTAGCATTTTTATAGCAATGAACTAACCACACACAGTACCGGGAGCGTTCACTTTCCAGATTCTTAGGACTGATTATCAAAAAAAACAACATTGCCCCAATTAACCACAGCATGGTCCTGAAGGCGTGAGGAACGCACCAAGAGAATTTTAAAGGTGAGAGTTGGTTACAGCCTGAAAAAATGTCAAGCATAAGTGAAAGGGACACTGCTGGGGTTAGAGGTGCTGCTTTAACTGCTGCTGTGCAAAACAGTCACTGGCCCCTGATGCTCACGGCCGTCCCTGCTTGCATCTAGTCCAGTCCTGCTACTACAGCCCCCATACGCAGCTGCTTTGAACCATGATCTATTAAGAGCTGGTTGATTGTTCAGAAAAAGGAAGCCACTGTAGTTAATGCTGGCAGATCTGAGAAGCACCCAGGTGAGCAGGATGTAAAGAGCAGCTGCCCCTTCACCTAACAGCTGCTGGAGAACAAGTCTGATCACAGCTTAAGATCAGGCTCAAACTGTGGGCAAGGAGGAAAGCAGCTTTCAAGAGAACTTCCAGACTTTCCCTCCAGGTTTAAATATCAAGAGAAAAAGCAAAGCCACAAGCCCAATTCTTTATTTCCCTCCTTTAGAACTCAGTTAAGTAAAATCCCGTAGCAACCACTTTTGGGTCACCCAGCTGAGGCCTCCAACTCGTGTAATTTTGAAATGGTGACAAGCTAACTGCCTGCAAAATGGGCAAGAGAAAAGGATGGATTTCTTGAAGATGCAATCAAAAATCAGATAAAGCAGCTTTCCTCCAGCAGTAATTCCTCAACCCAAGCAGAGGGCAACAACACACAGAGAGGTAAAAACAGCTCTGGAGAGAGCTTGTAGGACTCACCTTGCAGGATGTTGGCAGGGCACATGTCAATCTTGGTCACCACAACAAAGACGGGAACGTTAAGCGCAAGCGCCAGGCCCAAGTGCTCCTTGGTCATCCCAACAATTCCAGCGTTACTGCCGACCTACACCAGGGATACAAAACACGGTGACGTAAACGTTGCTCCTGCCGTGAGCTGGGTTTTGGAGAAGGTGTCATGTCAGTCACACAGCAGGCTGTGATTAGGTTGTGGACATGTCATTGGGACTGCATGAGCAGACCCAGCTTATTTCAAGTGCTATTGGACACAGGCTAAGAAGGACTCATTGCTCCTCAATTTTAGCAAGCTGTTCCAGAGTTTAGAACTCTTGCAGTTTTCAAGAATCCCACATCTCGGGCCTGTCTGAGAATGACAGTCCTGAGGCATTTGCCTCAGAGCCCTGGCTAGATATCCACAGTGGCTGCTGCTCTCCACCTCTGAGAGACACTGCCTCCATCCACAAGCCCACGGGAACTTTGCAACAGGAAGGAAGTTGAGGCTGTTAAAGCTGTGAACAGCCCCACTCCTGCTGGTACCGTACATCTTTTTTGCGACCTACCATAAGCATGCAGAAGTCAGGTAAATGGCCGGTCATGCCAAAGACGGTGGTTTTCAGGTACTTTTCATGACCGGCCAGGTCAATGAAAGTAATGACCTTGGTGGATTTCTCACAGATCTTTGTCCATTCCAAGCTGCCACCGTGGCTGTCGGGCTTGTTCACCACGTTGCCCTCACTGTCGAAGCCCAGAATGTCATTGCCCACACTGCTGGTGCGGCCCGACTCAATCTCGTGCTTATGGCGGAAGAGCTTTTGCCGGGCGAAGCCTCGACCATTGTCTAGCTCGCCATGTGTCAAGACGCCCAGCAACGTGCTCTTGCCTGCATCCACGTTGCCAACCACTGCCACCCTGGAAGGGAAAGGAAAAAAGAACCTGGTAAAATCTGATACCTGAAGAAACAAACAAGTAATCAAAACCACCCAACCAAACAAAAAACCCTGAACACCACTGCTCCTGCAAATAAGCAGCTTTTTCGCGCTGCTAATCTTCAGAGATTCAAAAGTGTTAGACCTTCACAAGCAGAGCAGGGATTCTTTCACAGTTATTAGTTAACATCAGCGATCCCAGACGCTGGAGACTGGGATGTAGAGGACTGTGGAAACATGTCACTGGTGTCCAGAACACATCAGCTGAACCCAACACCGCTTGATGCTATAAAGAATATCTCTCTTCCAACCCCCACAATCCAACATATACACTGTGGCAATTTGAAAGAAAGACTAAATCCCAAGTGGGTCTAGAATACCTCTGCCTTTCTCGTATTCCTCACGTTGCAATAGCATGAGGTGCTAGGGGGAGCACAGAAATTTAAATCACTGTTCCTGGAAAAGCTCAAACAACAATGAAACATTTTGGAAAAACCCTCTCCTACAGGAATCTCCTTCTTTGTCTCTGATAAACGTAACAGCTGTTGGCAGTGTTGGAAATCCATTACATCCAGGTCTGGGCAGATTCTCAAGTCACCTTACAAGAGCTATTGCATGTCCACTAAAAGATGACTCGGATCACCACAATGTTGGAATAGAACTGAACCCTCAGTCAAAAGTACTGTATTCCAGCAGTGTGCATATACACACACATGCACATGTGACTCCCTGCTGTGAATCTAACCCACAAAAGATCCCCAAACTGCAAAGCTGTCATCTGGACAGCAACAGCTCTCAGAGCTAAACACAGGCAAACCTCCACAAACAGCCTGTTCACAAAAGAGACAGCGACAACAACAAAAAGATGATTTCATTAGCAAGGAGTGGTCAAGCTCAATTCCCTTTGTTGGGTAGCTGCAACACCCAGACTCGAACCAGCGTTGCTGGCTCAGCATCACGGACTGCTCACAGGGTAAAAATGCAGCCGGGGCTGCTGAGTAACCCTGTCTCCACCCGGCTCCTCACCTGACCTCCAGGAAGTCGTTGTCACCCACGCGTTTCCGAACCAGGTAGTCGCGCACCTTGCCCCCTGCCTCCTGGTGCTCCCGCAGGAGGATCACGTCAGCCTCGATCTGCTCTGCCATGCTCTTCAACGTGGCGTAGGATGCTTCCATGTCTGCCTCGCTCAGGCCGTATTCAGTCCCATCTAGTATGGCACCGAGGAGACAAAGGACAGTCAGTGAGCACCACCTGGCAACGGCTGGCGGCAACACCTTTTCGTCCAGGGCTTTCACACCGATCCGGAATTATACATGGGCTGGAGACATCAGTCACGTAAACAGAACAAAGCACCCGAAATAGAAAAGGACAGTCTTCTCTCTAAGTCTTCAAAGATACCAGAAAAGCACTATCTTTCATCTAGAGGGGTTTTCTTCACACTTTCTACAAGTAAATACTTAGGGATTGGCAAGAAAGACACATTTCTGTATAATTCCCTTACTCCACTGCTGAAGGTACTTTGCACGCAATCGCCTTCAGTCAGCTAAAACCTCTCCCGTTGCAACAAAGGGCAAAGCATTAACAAAAGGAAAGCTCTGACTGAAACATCACCACAACCAACCAGTAAATGTGGGACCAATTTAAACAATCAGTTTATTTTATAAAACCACATCCCAAGCGCACATTTTCTGCAAGCCCACCCTGCACAGCAATTTCTTTAGCTCCTACGGACTCCAGTTAAAACAATGGTTTTGGCATCTCTCACTGCCTTTTGTCCTGGCACTTGAAAGAAACGCTGACAGCACATGAGGCCAGAAAAAAACAAGGAGGCTCTGCTGCCTCTGAACAGCCCACCCAAGCAAAGAGCTGACAGAGCAAGCCAGTGGCAACTATCTAGACAGTTTAAAGGCCACCACAGGTCTCGAATTCCCTCTTAATCCAGGTGCTGAGAAGCTGCACAGATTTCAGGCCAGAATCAAATCCGTGGGTAAAAAAAAAAAAAGGAACAAATTAAAAAAAAAAAGGTGGAGAGTCACGTAGCACCTGGATGACCAAAGCTACTGCTGTGTGCACATTCATAGCCACAGCTGGCTCATCAGCTGGTAAGCAGTAAGTGCCTTTTTGCATGAACTAATCAGCGTTTTAGCTAGAGCACAGCTCTACAAGTAGAGCTTTTGAGTGATTTCTAGCCTATCTCATAAGCTGGCTGAGAAGTCATTGAGATGCTGGGGAAAACAAAAAGCACCATGGCTGGGGTCTTGGGTGATAGAACAGGGATGAGAGTAGGGGACAGGAAAGGGCCAGAGCCAAAGGAGGAAGCAAAGGGTCACCACTGGTGAAGCAGTGAGCTTTCTGCAAGTCTTCACCCACTTCTCAGTCATCCAAGTTGGGTATCCATGATTATCAAAATCACAGACACTCAGAATGAATGAAAAGGAGTGACAGTGACAGAGACAACCAAGTTTTGTTGTTTTTTCTGTGTGTTGGCTTTTGTTTCCAATTTACAGAAAAGATTTCCACGTTCCTTGACTATGCAGCAGCCCAAAATGAAGTCAGAAGTTTTAGCTCGTATTTTAAGAGACAAATGCCTACTTCTAAAGTACACCACTGCATCAGCCACCAGTTAACAGCCTCATGAGGTACCCTAGAAGAGACAGCAGTTTCTAGCCCAACTAGCTAGACATCTGCTGCAGATGTGGTTATTCCAGACACCAAGGATTCAGACTGCATGTGCCTAAGCTCTCTTGGAGGCAAGAGCGTTATCCCTGTGATACTGGTTGCATGACCGGCGGCCATCTAATCGTGGCTTCTCTTCTATGTCGGCTGCTTCACAAAGACACCAAGAAAACCCAAAAAGCGTACAGTTTTGAGGTAACACAACCTCTCTCCCTCCATTATCTCAGCCAACCCTGGCACTGATGACCAAGGTTTTGTATTCTTCTTCAAACACAGTAACTAGTAGAACGTCTGATCATAACAACTTGCAAACCAGCAGATATCTAATATATCTGAAACTTGTCTTTAGCCTTATAATAGCCATAGACAATTTTTTTTTGGACTGTGAAACTTCTACATCAAAGCAAGGCCATGTTAGATATTATTTTACCGGTATCAGATGTGAATACTCAAACTGTGAAAAAGAACAAAAAGGTAATCAATCCATGCTTACTTCTAAAATCTGTGAAGGCAAATGATTGCAGTTATACCCAAGTTAATGTAACAATAAAGGCCTCGTGCTGAGAAAAGGAAAACCTTTTTTCCCCCATAGTACAAACATTCACTAATAAAGAAAGCCAGCAGCATATATTTTTGGCTATCTGAAGTACTTCCAATACATTCCAGTAGGGTAAAAATACCATTATTTGCAACAGAGAAGTGAACAAAACCAGACAGAACGAGACCTCCATGAGACATTGAGGATGTCTGTACTAAAACTGTTACTAAAATTTCAGATCCTTTGTCTTTTCCCGGTGTGCCCAGACAACTTATGCCTTATTTCCAAAAAAAGAACTTGTATGATTTTATACAAAAAATATGTTTAGCTCCACTACATAAGACAGCTGCTGGCAGGAATAAAATAAAATAATCCATCCCACATGTTCTGCAATACTTTACAGAGGTTTCCAAGTTATTCTGGAGAAGTAAGTACTACCTTCAGCAGCAGTCCAGTTAGACAAACTAGGTTTTCCTTGTAATTTTAATGGGCTTTGTTGTTTTCCTGAGGAAGCTATACTCACCCGATCCTTGACCAATGACATAGATGGTCTCCCCACATCCCTCATCAATTCTCTCTGACATCTGCCGGAGCAAGCTGTCATACTGCTCTGAAGTTGGACTCACCATCACCAGCTAGGAAAAAAAAAAAAAGATTAAATATCCATTTGCAAATGTCAAGCAATCAATTTCAAAACAAACTTTAGCTGTAAAGGACAACCAGCCTATGTGCTTTATTGAAAGAGAAGAGCTTTTTCCAAGGATGATTTTCTGGTCACTTTTGTTTGTTTGTTTTTTAAACCAGCTTTGCTGACAGCTATTTCCCTGTGACACTGCACAAGGTTATTTGTCTGAGCTCAGAGCTCGCTTGTGTTGGAAGATACACTTCAAAGCATCTCGTTTTGAACTAACCTGTACTTAAAAGCCACATTCAAGTGAACATCCCACTTCTACTTCTGTGTAATATAAGTGTTTCCATGCAAGGAAAACAGAAAGAGAAGGAGATTTCTTTTTCCCCAAAGAAATTCCTTAGCTGGATTCTCCACAGTCAGGACAGCTAGGTGAAGGCAGCCAGACCTGACTGCAGGGCACATGTAGGCACCAAACCCTAGAGTGTCTCATACGTCTTTCATACACTCAATCTCCTCTTTTGTTTTCTGAGGGGGCAGAGGGGACGGAGCAAACACCGACAAGCATTATTTTCAAACCCCTAACAAAACTTCAGGTACTTTACGCTACCGTGCTAAGAGGCGGACAGACAGAGCAGTCTGTACGAGCATATATGGATGTTTCACCAGTGGAGAGCTGCAGTTTTGCAAGACAGGAGCTGTCACCATCAAGCTCTGACTGCAGTTATTGTGACAACCACAGCCTCCCTGGCCCTTACAGGCATCAAGACAAGGAAAAAGTGGACAGAAACAAAGCAGAAAATGAGGACAACGTGACAGGAATGATTTTTCCTTAGAACAGAATGGCACAGCACCACTTCTGGCAAAAACTTGGGTTGCTCACACAGCATGGCTGAGGACACGACGGTGGCAGCGGCAGACGAAGGGCCCATTCGGAAACAACTGGCTGCCTGCTCTCTGGCTGCCCCCATGCTCACAAATCTGCTGGTGGCCCAGCCTCCTGCTACAGTGGCTCAATAGCTGTTGTAATTGAGTCATGTATTTCTGTTAAAAAGGAACTTTTATAAGAGTTGCAACAGTTATCACCTACAGAAAACCATATCGGTAAGCATGTCTGTGCCACACTGCAATACTCAATAAAATCCATACTTCTGCCAGCTGTCCTTACACACACGTTCCAAAAGCCTGCCCAAGAAGACTTATGTCCCTTCATTACACACTAAGGCCAGTCTGAAATCCGTGCTAGATTTGCCTAAAACACATGGTTTACAACATTCACAAGGACTACATCTTCAAGCCCACTCAACATTCTCTACTAACACCAAGCCCGACTTGCTATCACAGCTAACACAACATGTATTCAAGGAGGAACGACCTTCACCACCTACTATGACTACATAGTTGATAAAGACCTTTATTAGAAACCCAGATTGCAAGGGAACCCAAAACACCACAAATAATGCTTAACAGCGATGCACACATCTGGAAAACCAAAGCATTAGCAGCAAGTGCTGGTTAGAAGGTTTAGGGCAGCCAAGGCACTGCTTTCCTCGAAAGTCAAGGGTCACCCAAAGCATGTATGTGTCTGCAAGGGCTGGACAGGTACAAGAGGGACAATCACCTTCACATGCCTCTTTTAAATGCATGCCCTACCTGAGCCTTTTAACTACTTGGCATTGTTTGCAAAAGGTGGAAAAGCACTCTGATCTGGAAGGCCACTTAATGATAGGATTGAGTTTTCCCTGTATTAGTTGTTCTTTTCGTTTTCTTTTCTTCTTAAAGCAGGCCCCTGGATGTAAATACATTGAGAGGGAAATCAGCAGCTGTTCAGAGGCTTGATTGGGACAGGAATGGAAGGCTGTACATTGATGTGTAGGCCTTGTTTTGCCCAGCAAGCACTTTCTGGAATTCCTGGAAGCACGGCAGACAGCCTCACTGTTGAGGCCAGTGCACCAGCACAGCTCAGGGACTCAGGACGATCCATTAAATAGGTTATCATACCCATAAAGATCAATAAATTAAAAGGGGCCACCAGTGTAGAGCATGCTAACTTCAGTTTCTTCAAGTCACGTCACCAGCTTTGTTTTTCTACGAGTTCAAATACTTCAGCAGTGTGAGCAGGCAGTTTGTTGTTTAAAGTACCAAGGGGACGTCTCAGCTGAGCAGCTTGCTGTAGCCTTTCTTCACGGTGCCAGGTGGGAGGGCTGGGGGCTTAAACAGCACGGTACCCACACACATCAGCTCAAAACGCTGTTCTCCCATCCTCCTGCTTTCACTGCCGTGCAGAGGTGCTGCTGAAGGGTGTTCCAGTGGTAGACCCACTCCAAAGCCTACCCTGGGGCCGACAAAGCTCACAGCTAATGTGACACAGAGGGACATCAAGAGAAGGACGTGTAGAACAAATAGCAGCTTGCACGGATCACACCTTCGAACGCCCTTCAGGATTTCCAGTGGCTGCTTCTGCAGCCCCCGGCCAGTTCTGCAGTTTGCTACGTCACCGCAAGACTTTACTTGCTGGTTTGAAGATTTCTTTAGCTAGCTTCCTGGACAGAGGGAGCTTGTTCCTTGCCGTTCCCTGGGTCAGAAAGAGGGCCTCCATCCTGGCTTCTCTGTTGTTTTGCTCTACACCTTTGAGCAATCCTGTCCATGCGCTATGTATTTGTGTTTTTCAGAGGTTTTCACGATGTCAAAAAATTTCACTTTTGTCCTTTACACTTTTCCAGGCATTGAGCCATGTAGGTCTAGCAACCTCCGATTTCCTATAAGGCAAAAAAGTAACAACCAGTTACCGGTTTATTCTCACGACAACAGCAGCAGGAAACACATCTTACAAGCTTGAGATGCGGTATCTCAAGTCCCTTCCCAGTCTTTGGGGAAAGGTGGCTTTTTCCCACCTTTCCTCTGACCAGTTTTGGAATTAACACATACCAGAGGTGGGTAATGGCTGCAGCTGTCTGAGGTTACTCTAGGGGGGCAAGTTGGACTGTGTCATTCTGCACTGCCCAAGGGCAAGAAAAAGCCACAGTATTAATTAACAGCAGCCTCAAGACACCAATGAGATTGAGCTCAGGTTATATCAACACTGCTACAGGCAGCTCTTACCAAAGAAGCATCCCACACCTATGAAGTGGACAAACTATATAGATTAAAGGCAAACCTAATACTATGTGGTACACAGCGCTGCTCTTTATTGGAATAACACAGCCTGACATTTTGCACGGCTGGAAGGCCCCCACCAGCCATTGGAAAGTCAGAGGAGAAGCTCCTTCTGTAATGCCACATTTTGCTTTCTATTTCTTGTGGACATACACAGCTCAAGTGCTATTAATGTTCTGCTGTCAATGTAGATGTCATCTAAGTATCAGCTTCACTAATAGCCTTGTGTGATATCATTTGGATCTGAAAGATGACCACTATTGCAGTGTGTTAGTACTGAAAGGAAAATAAACACCCATTAAGATCAACACGATACTGAATTTGTGCTGATGTTTGCTTGACCAGCTGACAAGGTCCAAACAATAACTGAATCCCAAAGTGTTGCTCTCTAAAAAGAGCACACCTTAGAATTAGAATGAACAAACGGGGGAGGACCTGGAGAAAAGCATGAAACACAGTGAGGGGGTGAGACTAACCAGGACAGAAGTAGCAACTAACAAACAAATCGACTGCACTGAAAATCACCACTCTGAGCAGGAATTGGAGGGCAGCAACTCAACTGGGAAGACAGAAAAGACAGAGGGACCAGTGGTGGGGGGCAGGCAGCTGCTGCATTCTCACCGTATGGGACTGCTGTTTCAAGCGGGTAGTGGGAGACTAACCTGGAGAGATGGGGCACAGCTCATAGTCTTAGCTCTCATCCAAGATGGGGATGAATGAAAGGTCTAGGGAAAAGATAGCAGGTGTATATCAAAAAATAATTTGTAATAAAGGTCAAAAAAATCCTTACCTATTCATTGCCTCCAGAACGTCTGCAGATTTCTAGGAATGCAGGGCAGGCTGACAACACAAATTGAGGTTGTGGGAAAAAAGCATTTCTCTCTCTTCGACAGCGTTTTGGTGAGGTTCCTGGCCTGTGAAACAGCCCTCGGCATCCTCCTGGGCCCTCTTCCACATCAGCCACATCCAAGACAAAGCACAGATCGATATTGGCATTCTGTATTGAAATCTTGTCCAGCTCATTAAGGCACGAACAGGTGGCTCAATAAATAAGCAGGCTTGATTTCTTTTCTGTACTTTCTTATAACGTATCTTCAAAACATTTGTTTTAATACAGTATCACATTATCAAATATCTGGTTCACCCCCTCAAAACCAAATGTTTCCATATCCACACATCACAATTCTTCTCTCCACTTCTCCACAAAGGGCAAGAAAATCCAGGACTTTGGAACAACTCCAGCTGGAAGCATGAAGAGGATGGATGGCAGAAAAACAAGAGGAAACACCAGCTATGCTGACTTCTGGCTCACACGATTACAAGTGGACCAGACCAGATTTTCAGGAGACTTTAGGGTGGGAGATGGCATCACGACAGACCAAACCCTTGTCAGCAAAAGGTATATAGTGTGGTGAGGCAGCTAACGTAGTCTGTGGCGGGTTCTGGCACGTACGTACTGCTACAATGCAAGACGGAAACGAGAACGGATACTGACAGAAATAAGTCCCCCCCACAGTTTTGTGGCTCGGATCCTAGACAGGAACTCCACAAGGTGAACAAACCTTTTTGTGTTGCCTTAACCTGGCTTGCAAGCGCAAGGCACCCTTGCCGCTGAGCCCCCGTGCTCAGAAGCTACGAGCTCCGACACGCTTTTAAGATTGTGAAGAAAGCCCCAGGAACTAGTAGGGCTGGCAGCAGAGATAACTACAGAGGACCGGCGCGGAGGGAAAACGTTGACGAGACGTTAAAGCAGCTGTCACCTACAAACCTCGCAGCTTGCCCAGGGGACGCAACA